TCAATCCCCAAGCCGATCCTCTATCCATTGAGCCAAACCGGTCCCGGCATTCTCTACTAATTTTAACATCTGTGTCAGTTCTGAGTTGTTTTCAATTGATTGATTAGTCTTCGCATTGTGAGTCATGTTTTCCTTCCTCTTTGCATGCTTGGTAATCAGATAATATACATTATGAATTTTACCTTTTTGGGGTACTGGCTATTTTCATTCCTGTAAATCAGTGTTTCCCAAACCTCTCTCATGATGAGAATCACCTGGTGGAGTTGTTAAAATACAGATTCCTGAATCCCAGCTAAGAAGTGCTTAACTAGTGCTCTAAATTTAGCACTTCTTAGTTGGGATTCAGGAGTTTGTATTTTAACAACTCCACCAGGTGATTCTCATCATGAGAGAGGTTTGGGAAACACTGCTTAAATCATCCTGAGCTTTGTACTGGGAACCAATTAATTTGCTTGAAAGCAGTTTCCAAGATCCTGCCTCAGTTCTTCCTGGGTATCCTACCCAGTGCCTCATGAACTGTGTCTTTCTCCTGTTGGGCTAGTGGGAACAGGTGCTGACCGTTTTAAACATTTGGATGGTTCTTTTCCTGGCCTTAAGTAGTTTCCCAAAACACATGCATTGATTAGTGCTCTCTGAATACTTAAAGGAGACCCCCCTCCAAATCCCTGGGGATCTCTCTGTAGTTCTCCACTCCCTGGTACATGTCTGTAGACTCGGGCCGTCTTGAGCTCCGTCCCAGTTTCCTCTTCCTGGAAACTCCCAAGGATGTAAGCTGGGGCAGTCATAGGGCCCATTTTGTTAGTTTCTTTTGTGTGGGGGTTATTTTTTTATTTGTTTGGGATTTTTGTTTTTGGTTTAGATGGGAGGGTAAATCCGATTCCTGTTTCTCCATCTTGGCCAGAACTGTGACCTGTTTTGATGTCACAGCTTCTCTTATATTCTACATTCAACACTGACCAGCCCAATTCCCACTTCAGAACATAACTGTATGCACATTTGTTCCTGCTGCTTAGTGGACTCCGCTTCCTTTCCTGAATCAGCCTCTCCCTCAGGCTAACAACTTACAGCCGTATATAAAGTGGTCTGTCCCTCCCCATTGTGAGGAAGCCCTCCTTCTAGCACCTCCTTGCTCCTCTAGCCTGGGCCAGTTGTGTGACTTTATGCTCAGCTCTGGGGATATTGTTTACCTTTTAGACTTAGATTATAGGAAATCCCCTCCTCAGGCCAAAGGGACCCCATCATTTACCAACACCACCACTTAGCCCTTCTCTGTGAAGATTTCTCAAAGGAAGTAGGTGAAATTGACAGTTGGTGTCTGTAGTCTGATGTTCTGGAGCAAGGCTCATGTACTCTTCCCAGAAACAAGAGCTCATCTGAATTGAGTAGGAGAATAAGATCCTTGACAAGGTTCTTGCTTAAAGCCCCTTTACTCAGAAGTCCTACTTCTTGGCATTTATGGTTTCTTAAAATAATAGGAAGAGGCTTTGCCCCTCAGTGTCCCAGAAGAGTTTAAGAAAGACACTCTCCCAGACCAGTGGCCCCAAACTCATTAGACAATAGAGCCACATATCAACAGTACAACGATTGAAATTTCCTTTGAGAGCCGAAAACTGACTTCTGTGCATGGGCCACGAAGTTTCAATCGCACTGTATGTGCACGCCGGCACATGGTATTTTGTGGAAGAGCCACACTCAAGGGGCCAAAGAGCTGCATGTGGCTCGAGCTGCAGTTTGCCGACCACTGTCCCAGACCTAGTCTCTTTGCTGAAGAGCTCTGGTTCTCTAGGCAGGCTCAGTAGCAGGTAGAGGCTGGCTCCATCTTGTGCTTCCGGCTTGGTACCAATCAAACACTAAAGCATTTCACTTTTAGGCAAAGTGAAATGGATGCACATCTGGAGAATGCTTGGCAATGCATTTAATCAGGAATAAAGGGAGTCTGTCTCAGTACCCTGTGGTTTTTCATTGTAATTAAATGCAATCTTGCCCTGGTTCGGGGCGTGTTCAAATTTGGCAGGAAATAGGATAATTCTTTCATAGGTTTACTGTATTTAAAAGTGAGTTGCAACCCATTAGCGTATCATGAAATAAATTTAGTGGTCTCAATCAACATTCTTCTTAATGATGCGAAGTGTGTCCCATGTAGTAACTATTACATAATGTAAATATCTCAATCAGTGATAGCTCTTTGTGGAGTAGGTGATTGAGTTCCATTTCTCTGTTTCTCCTCTCTTGGCAGCGCTGCAATTGGGTATGCTCAGTAAATGTCATATAAATATGTACCTCATACCAATTAGGTTATTTTCAGCTGCAAGTAACTGAAAACCTGACTTAAGGCAAAGCAGACTTTCAGTCACTTAGAGCACAAGCCTTGAGGGAGGTGGTTTGGGCCTGGTTTAGATCAATGAGACAACTACTCTGTGGCGCTCCTGACCTTTTCATGGTTACAAGGTGGCTGCCATCCTCACACATCAGCGTTCAACAGGAAGGGAGAACAGGACCTTTCTTCCTGAGCATGTTTTTCTTTTTTTACCACTGAGACAGGTCTTTTCCTGCAAGATTTCAGTAGACTTCACAGTTATTCTGAATGCCCAAACTGACACACATGCCCAACCCTGGTATAAAAGAACAGCTTAGATTGATTCCAGTTCATGTACTGGGCCAGGCGGTTGCTGCTCCTGGAAAGTTGATATTCAGTTAAAAAGGAGGGGAGGGCTGCTGAGTTTGAAATGTGCCACAGCCTGGGTTCCAGGTGCCTCTCTGGCAGGTATTTCTCTGTGGGTTTTGTTCAGCTAGCCTTTGTAGACAGTCAGGGCTGGGGACCTCACCCTTCCATCCTTGGCTCTTTCCCCGAGGGTTTCTTCACCAGTGACTTACCCACCATAGCCCCTCAGGAAGCTCTAGGAGTCCTCACATTCTGCTCTATAACGAGCAGAGCAGACCAGGGAGAAGCTATTTCTCCTCATTAGCCTCCTTTGTAGCTCACAGTCCTCACTGAGCTAAATAAAGCCTTTTGGTAGAGCCAGACCCCACTGCTCACTGGCTCTGACCTTGAGCAGGTTACTGAACCTGGAAGTTGGTTCCCTTATTTCGGTTACATAGTCTCAGGAAAGTTAATGGGAAGGCTCCCTGCCTGGCACACAGAGAATTGAGAATCCTAGCTGTTCATTGCCTACTCTCACCCTAAATGCTGAGTTCAGCTGGTTTGAGTTCAGTGTATGAAGCAGAGCCCAATGTTTTGAAAAGGGATCTCTACAATGAGTATTGTGAAGAATGGAAGGAGATCTGTTCTTCTCCCAGTTACTCATTTATAGAAAACTGTTCAAGTCCTGCCATTTGTTATTTCTTTTACCAGATAGTGAAAGTGTCCTGGCAAGGAGATAAGCTTCATGTATAATACAACCCAACTTGCTAGTTCTGGGTGCCAGTTCCTGGCCCTGCACTTGGCAGGCATGGATTCCCGTCCTCCTATCTTCCTCTCAGTCCTTAGCTCCCAGTTCCAGACAGTCTCAGCATGTACTCTGCCTCAGGACATCTGTCACCCCTCCTGCTCTGTAAGGACAGCAGTTCCTGTCCACCTCCCTCCTCAGTTCCCCATTTTGTCAATGGATAGTCTGGTGCCTGAGATAAAGCTCTCACTTGATCTCTGCTTTCTTAACCCACCTACAAGTTTTGACATTTTTAGGTTGGGATTTTGTTGGGACTTCTCTCTTCCTGTAAAAAATACAGACACAACTCAATTCTGTATTTTATTGGGTCTTCTGAGTGATGCTTAGACCCACGGCAGGTGTCTATCCTTAGCATCCAATGGAATTAGCTGTATGTTACATGACAACTGGCTGATCCCTTCCAGTCTGGGATCCTGGCATAAGAGTTTTCAGGACCTTACTGACAGTTACCACAATTGGCTGACAGTCTTTTAAAAAATATTTTATGTACTTTATTTTTTAAAGATATTTTTATTTTTATTGATTTCAGAGAGGAAAGGAGAGGGAGAGAGATAGAAACATACATGAGAGAATCATGAGTCAGTTGCCCCCTGCATGCCCCATACTGGGGATTGAGCTAGAAACTCAGGCATATGTCCTGACCAGGATTCGAACCATGACCTCCTGGTTCATAAGTCAACACTCAACCACTGAGCCACTCTAGCCGGGCATGGCTGACAGTCTTTTTTGAACAAGGAGTTGCAAATGTCTGTTCCTCTTTTCTCAGGGCATATCTTCATCCCTGGAATTCCCCCTTTTAGGAAGGTGCCATTGTGGTTTGTCTGGTTTCTGAGAAACTGGAATAGTAAAATGAACATGGCTTTTGGATTTATAGTCCAGCTTTATTACTTCAACAAGCTACTTCACTACTCTGACTCGGTTCCTTCATTTGGGAAATGGAGACAGTGCTGTGGGGAGGATTGAGTAAGTTTTATATGGAAAGTGCCTCGCTCTGCCCCTGGCTTGGGGTGGAACCACTGCCCACAGTTCAATTGGAGTTGTCAGCAGTTCACTTGGAAGAGGTTTTCTGTGTCTTTTCCAATGCCATTCCTCTGATTCTGATTAGCTTGTGTCCTACAACTCAGTTCAGTTCTGCCACTACCCACATTTCTGTAAAAGATGACGGGTGAATTAAGGAAGGAATAGTGCTGCTTACCCTGTATGTGAGTTTGAGCCATTGTGTGTGCCTAAAGGACCCACAGTTAGTCTGGGAGGAAATCCAGCGGGTACTGGAAATTCATGCAAGGAGTGTGTACACTTCCCTATTCTCCAGACTAAGCAAGGTACCTTGCTGCCTGCCTCTTGTGGTCAGCTTACACAAGGTCGGGTGGAGGACTACCACGTTCCTTAGAGACCCACTGAACCCTCCCTGGACTCTGCAGTCCCACATCAGGCCTAGACACCCTTCCAGGCCCTTCAGTTCAGGCATCTGGGATTTGCACTCTGCTAATGGCTTATGACTTGCCTCATGTCATTACTCCTTGTTGCTCATGTTACAACTGCCCTTTTTCACAGGGATGCTTGAAGATGGAAAGAAATTTGATTCCTCCCGGGACAGAAACAAGCCCTTTAAGTTTATGCTAGGCAAACAGGAGGTGATCCGAGGCTGGGAAGAAGGGGTTGCCCAGGTATGCTCTCATTTGTTTTGTTCTGTTCCTGAGTGTGTCTACCTTTTAAACTATATTTATGGTTAGAACATTTATATGGTTCAAAAATACGAAAGGTATGAGTAAAAAAAGTCTATTCCCATCCCACTTGATTTTTCAGTCTCTCCCCGCTCCCCCAAGTAACTCTTGTTATTAATGTTTCTTGTAGAGTTCCTTTAAGCATATACTTTTTTTCTTTTATACACACACATTGTTCTGCACTTTGCTTTTTTACTTACTCTAATTTTAAATCACTTTCTAATCCAGGACCAAAAAAAAACCCCACAGTTTTTCTTTCAGCTGCATAGTGTTTCCTTAGGTGTGTACAATCTAATTTACTTGACCTGGACTCTGTTGATGGCCATTTGGGTCGTTTCCAGTGTTTAGCTATTGTAAACCGTGCTATAGTGACTAACCTTGTATGGACTTTATTTTACATTTGTCAAGTGGTGTTAGAGGCAAATTTTCTGTAGTGGGGTGAGTGGTTCAGTGGCTGTCTTTGACATACTGCCATGTTGCCATCCATAGGGATCACACTGAACTGCCACCAGTGGCCTCTGAAGCTGCCTGTCTCCTCTTAGCTTTGCCAGCAGTGTGTGTTGTTAGACTTTTGGCTCAGGGCAGAATGAGTGACAAATGTTGTCTTGGGATAGTTTCAGTTTGTGTGTGTCTTATTGTGGACCATGTTGTGTCAGACCACTTCTGAGAGGTCATATTCACGGATAAAGTAATTTTGTTTGTCTTGAGTCTTTTTTCACCTCTCCCTCCCCATTGTGTAAACATCTTTTGTCTGCCAACACTACAAAATTCCCAGTACACAATAGGGTTGCCAAATTTCAGTTGGATTCTAGCCTTCCATGGAGTCCAGAAATTTTTTTCTTGGCCCTACCAGGTAAAGGGGTGTTTACAGTGGCTTGAGACCCAGCAAGCTTTATAATTAGGTCCTGAATGATAGTAATCAGTCGATTTCCCTCTCACCAAAGAAAATTGGGAGATTTAACCAAAGTGTACAGAGATTTCTCTCTCTCTTTTTTTTTTTTTTTTTTTTTTTGTTAATCCTTATCCAAGGATATATTTCATTGATCTTTAGAGAGAGTGAAAGGAAGGGGAAGAGACAGAGAGAGAAACATTGATGTGAGAGAGACTGCTTGCTTGCTTCCCACATGTACCCTGACCAGGACCCAGGGGTCAAGCCTACAACCAAGGTACATGCCCATGACGGGGAATTGATTCTGGGACCCTTCAGTCTGCAGGCTGATAACTCCATCCACTGAGCCAAACTGGGTAGGGCTCTCTTTCTCTTTTCTAGAATAGACATTGCTCCACTTCCTCAATAAATATCAGTGATTTACCTCCATTTAAATTGCTTAACTTTCAGGGACTTTAAGCCGTTCCACTCGTAAGTATCTAGAATTCTGTTCCTGCAGGGCAAAGGGTTGGCAATATAAGAAGGAGAGGATCTTTGTGATTTACTTCCCTTTGGAAACCCCTTCAGCTGTACCTTTCTGTCTCATCCTATCTCCCCTCTCCCAAGTCTGGGCTGCTCTTGGTCTATAGCCCTTCCCCCATCTCCCATGCCAGCCATTGTCCATATCACAACTCATCTTCTGTGGCTATTCTAGCACTGGAACAATAATTGTGTTTTGTGTTCCAAGATCTGTAATTGTCACCAAGGTAGTATTATCATCCCAGGCTTGATAAGGCATGACATGGTACTGGGAAGACGCCCAGACGCCCCCTGGGCCCAGTGTGCTTTGAAGTCAGTCACAGCTCACTTGTCAGAAGTCTGGCTGCTCTGAGACCTCTGCAGGGCATCTTCCTTTAAACTCCTCTACAGATACTACTTCAGCAAGTGAGCTAAAAGCACAGAAAGACAGGGGATAGTTTTTTTGCCCCTTTCTCCTTGTTTTGATATTGTTTTGTTTTTAAGTGTTCACAGATATGTAATCCTACCACAAGTACTATTTTGACAACTTGCTTTTTTCATTTAACGGTATATCTTGAGCATCTTTCCATATTAATATATTTAAAGTCATTGTATTCTTTCTAGTGGCCAATCCATGGTGTGCATGTGTCTTTGACATGTCTGTTCTTTAATGTACATTTAGGGTTGTTAGCAGAAGATTCTGGAAGTAGAATTGCTGGGTAAAGGATATGATTCATGCTTTTAACTGTCTTTATCACCGTGGTCTAACATGTCCTTGTTTTTGAGGGAGCTGTAGGAAGCAAGGCTTTTGAATTTCATTGGAAACTTCATTCCATCCTGCTGCTTCCTCTTCAGTCATTATCTCTTAGTCTGGGTCAGAGTTAGTTACAGAATAAAAATACAGCAGAAAACTTGCTCATGCTTCAGAATAAAAGAGCTAGTTAAACTTATTTGTGTATTTGATTAGAAAATGAAAAAAGTACAATTATTTTTCTTTCTCCCTCTCCTCCTTCCCTACTCTGTCTCCCTCTCCCTCTCCTTCATTTTAGAGAGGGAGGGAGAGAGAGAGCGATGGAGATATATGAAAGACACATCTACTGGCTGCCGTAGAGCAAACCCACAACATAAGTGTGTGCCCTGACCGGGAAGCACACCTGAGACCTGGTGCATTGGACAACACTCCACTCAACTGAACCACACAGCCAGGGCAATGCCAGTATTTTTTTTAAGTGAAAAAAAATTTTCTCTTTTTGTTATTTTGATCAGTTGCTTCCCATCTTGGCCAATACTATCTTCTCCCTATAGAAAAATGCTGGTTTAAAAACTTTTTCTATACTTCTGAGGTATGAGTATAAATATAGGCCCTGAATGATAGTAATCAGTCGATTTCTCTCTCACCAAAGAGAATTGGGAGAAGTGCAGAAAAGTAGACTACCCTCCTGCCCCCAGTATTACTTTCTCTGTGTATGTTTTTTAAAGCAAAGTTTTGGACAAAGTACTGCTTTTTTCAAGAGCATAGATGCCACTTACCATATCCTTGGACTGAGCAGACCACTGAAAGACTAGGTGGTGACACTTCCCGAGTGTTGGCTGCCTCGAGTCAGGTTAGTTACACCCGTGCAGAAAGGTTGAGGGCCTGACCATTTCAGGAATCAGAGGTTTTTATCTGCCTTTGGGCTCCTTGGAGATGCAAGGATCATCCCACCTGACTGCCAGTCTCCACATCCTGCACAGCGGAGTGCCCGGTGCCCATGCAGCTGCACAGTCACTGTAATGTCTTACTCACATCATCCTGGGCAAGGGACACCCAGACTTCTTCCAGAGACAGTTGAGGGATGCATCCAGCTGATTCTTTTTCCCTTGTTCTTTTCACAGATGAGTGTGGGTCAGAGAGCCAAACTGACTATCTCCCCAGACTATGCCTATGGTGCTACTGGGCACCCAGGCATCATCCCACCAAATGCCACTCTCGTCTTTGATGTGGAACTTCTAAAACTGGAATGACAGAAATGGCCTACTCCCTGAGTTCCCTGTGCTTGGGTAAGGTACTGAATGCTAAAGAACCCTTAAATTACCGATACTCCTCCCATGTCATGATCAGCATTTGATGGGGGGTAGTAGAGAGAATGAAAAATGCCATGGGCTGCTTCCTCCCTCCCTCTCTTCTTCCTCTCTCGGGATCCTTTCAGTTTTAGGTGTCAGTGTACATTTTGAATGTAAAGATTGGTCACCCTATGAAAGGGATGGCATATGTTCTTCAATGTGTTTATGGGGATGGGACAGCTTAATGTAGCTGTCTAAATAAAATATTTTTTATGTAGCTTATAAACTAAACCTCAGTTGGGAGCTGGAAATATTAGGCTGATTTTTAGTGCCAACATTTTAGTTCTTTTTAAGTAAGAGTGTTGGTGACTTTGCTTACCCTGCCCTGGTTTGTACACCTTCCTCACCCATAGTTTGTGGCTACCTGCCTTGGGGAGCAAACTCTGCATGGTTGAGGCCAGCAGGCCAGCTTCTTTTCAGTGGGTTGAAAATAAGGCCTGAGGACGTTATTGAAGTGTAAAGGGTGCTCTCAGACAGTCATAGGAAGGAATCTTAGGGTGTCGGCCTTCCTATGCAACAGATGAGGAAACTGAGGCTCAGAGAAAAGGACCTTACACGGTCTCATTTAATCAGTGGCATACTAGATTCAGACCAGAATCCCTTTCATGTTTTTCTTTCCGATGCTCTTTTTCTTCTCATTACCTTCATTTCTAGGAAACCAAACTCCATATCCTAATGACACATAACTTTTCATGTGGCTGTTGGAATCCTAAAACACATGAATGTTGTCATGTTCTTTCACTTGACCCCACATCTCTGTTTGCTCCCCTCAGGAACCAGAGGTCCACAGCCAGTGGCTGGGAAAAATGCTTCTGTTTGAAAGCTACAATAGTTGTTTGCCAACTGTCAGTTATGGTGTAACCTTGTCCTGTTTTGGACTTCCTGAAGTAGAGGGCTTTTTAAAAATTAATAGTTATTTTCTCTCTTAGTGGTTTGAACTCAACACATCGGGGTCATACAGTCCTGGTCAGGTTTGATGACTTTGGCTTTCTCCATTTGCCATTTCTACAAGAGGGGAACTCCTGACACTTTCGAGAGTCTCCCTCTGCCCAAAGATCTACCCCTAGTCCAAACCCTCTTTCCTGTTCTTTGAGAGCTAAGTCCTTTGAACATAATTGTATTTGAGGGAGCCTTGGAGTTATTCTGATTTGGGAATAGGCTTTTTGTAAATCTGAGAGGATGGAGGGTGGAGAAGGAAAGGAGAGGGAGATGAATGGCTAAAATTCAGTCTGATCTAAGCCTCCCCATGCACTGCCACAGAGCATCTCAGAGCTTCTTGCAAGACTGCAGACATTCTCTAAGTTCAACATGAGGACTATCTGCTTAGAGCTTTGCATATTAAAGGTACCTAAGAAGCTTTTAAAACTCTCCTGATGGCCAGGCCACAGTTGACCACAGTCACTGGGAGTGAGATCTAGACATTAAAGATTTTATTTTTTATTTTATTTTTTTAAATATATATTTTATTGAATTTTTTTACAGAGAGGAAAAGAGAGGGACAGAGAGTTAGAAATATCAATGAGAGAGAATCATCGATCAGCTGCCTCTTGCACACCCCCTACTGGGGATGTAACCACATCCAAAGTACATACCCTTAACCAGAATCGAACCTGGGACCTTTCAGTCCGCAGGCTGACGCTCTATCCACTGAGCCAAATCGGTTTTGGCTAGACATTAAAGATTTTAAACAGCTCCTCACCCCCAAGCAATTCCTATATGCAACCAATGATAATAGGAAACTGTATTTGTTAGTGGCCTTGGTGGACTGCCCCTCCTACTGTTCTCAGCAAGATAAACTTACCTTAGGTATTTAAGCAAGAAGGAGGTTGTTCATCTGGGAATCCAGCCTAGCCCAGCGACTCTCCCAGCTCAAGCAGAAGTGGCTTGGTCCACGTAAGACCTCCCGGATGTTGGGAAAGGGACTTGGTGTGGCAGCCAGCCGTGTGGTTGTCCCACTGCATGCAGAGAGCACTGAGTTGCTGGAACTCACAAATTTTCTGTCCCCAACAGATGTGCCATGGAGGGATTTGGCGCCCCCGACGCGCACACGCGAATCCGTGCGGAGCTTTTTCCTGATGTTCCACTACACTTTGTATAAACATCTGCCCCGACTGAATGTGTTCTGTCACCCAGCTTTGCTCTTCTCCTTTCTCTTCGTATGTGTGTTGACCTAAACTATATGCCATAAACCTCAAGTTACTCTTTATTTTTGTTTTGGGGTGAAGATTCAGTTTCAGTCTTTTGGGTCTAGGTTTTCAATTACGTATTAGTCAAGTATTAACAGCACAAGTAATGGGTTAACTTTAGACTAGGAATTGGTGTGTGGGGATGAATCTTTATTTTATTTTATTTTTTTGGATGAAATTTTTATCTATTATATATTAAACATTCTTGCTGCTGCGCTGCAAAGCCATAGCAGACTTGGGCGCTGTTGAGGGCCGAACTATCTCCAAGTTGAGAGATGTCTTTAGGTTGATTTAAGAGCCCTACCCAAAACTGAAGTGGGGAGGGGAGAGCCCTCACCTCCACTGCCCATCCCACTCTCCCCTTAAACCCTCTGCCTTTTAAAAGCAAATCTTTTTCACTGCGATGTTGGACACTACAGGTATCTGTCCCCGGGCCAGCAGGGACCTCTGAAGCCTTCTTCATGGCCTGGCTTTTTTCCCCCCATCCTGTGGTTTTTTTCCTAATAGATATTCAGGACTTTTATAATGTCATAGCTATCCAGGCTCCACTCCCTTAAATTTTAAGAACTTTAATCGAAAGTTTAAAGAGAAAAGGTGCTGTTTGTAGACACTTAAAACCCAATGAAAGCCCAGCCATCATGACAAATCCTTGAGTGTTGTCTTAAGAAAATGATGCTGGTCATCACAGCTTCAGCATCTCCTGTTTTTTGATGCTCACCTTCCCCTGCTGAGCTCAAAGTTTTCTGGCTTCTTCCCTCCTCTCATTCCTTTGCTGTCCTGTGTAGTGATTTGGTGAGAAAAATTATGGCTGCCTACCCCCCACCCACTACCCTGCACTACATATGAGTTTCGAGTTTATTGCAATAAAAGTGCTTTACGCTGGCTTTTCTCAACTTGGTGTGATGGTGGTTACTTTCAGGGTCCTTCCCCCTGCCATTTGGTGCAACACGATGGGGTTAGAGGTTTGACATAGGGGATATAGCATGGGAGGTTGTGTCTTGTCAGAAGAACCGCAGCAGGAACTTCTTCCCTGATCTCTGGAAGCAGGATGGTGGGGGTAGGTTTGTCATCAGGGAGAACCCCCTCACCCATCATCAAATGTTTATTAAGTACATGTTCTGCGTAGAGCACTACACTGGGTTGTCTGGGGTTACCAAGAAGTTGGAGATGCACTTCTAGCAAACTGATGAATTACAAAGGGAAGATGGGATTTTAAATTGGTTTTCTCAATAACATTTGGTGTGGAGGTTTTGTCGTGTGGACAGGCTGGGTGGTTACAGTACATTCCTGGCCCCTGCTCTGTATAAGTTCCCCATTTCCCTTATTACAGAGACAACCAAAAATGCTCCCACGTCAATATAGACTGTTTCCAAAATTGCCCTAGTGAAGAGCCTTTGATTTTTATTTATTTATTTATTTATTTTTAAAAATATATATATTTTATTGATTGTTTATAGAGAGGAAGAGAGAGGGATGGAGAGTTAGAAAGTAAGACCTCCTGGTCTTACTCGGAGGTCTTACTTGGTCTGCGGACTGAAAGATCCCAGTTTCGATTCCGGTCAAGGGCATGTACATTGGTTGCGGGCACATCCCCTGGGGATGTGCAAGAGGCAGCTGGTTGATATTTCTTTCTCATCGATGTTTCTAGCTCTCTATTCCTCTCCCTTCTTCTCTGTAAAAAAATCAATAAAAAATATTTTTTTTAAAGGTCATATAAAAAAAAAAAAAGAGTATTTGCCCATGTTGCTTTATGGTATACTACTACAAGAGAACTGTAATAAAAATCAAATTAATATACTAAATTTATTTAACCACCAAATTTTAAAGAACATTTTTTAAAGTAAAATGATTCAAATACAAAATGAACATATTAAAGATTTTATTAAACTCATTAATGAATGAGACAGAAATATGTTTCATTTGGTTCAAAGGAGAATTCAGACAGCAAGTAAATATACAGTAAATCCTCACTTTATGTCATCCATTGATTCTGAGAACCTGTGACTTAAGCAAAGCCCTGTGTGATGAAACCCATTTTACCCTTGCCTAATTATATAAATAAGTTAAATTCCTATTGCATGTTTCTGGTCACAAAAAAATCAAACTTCTAAATAAAGACCCAAAACACTTGTAATATGAAACACTGAAATAAATGTGAGCTATACTTACATTTAAGAAAGATTAATAAAAACATAATTATTTTACAACCCATTCAATCCAGTTCAGGATTGAAGGTGGACAGAGCCTCTCCTGGTAGCTCAGAGCACAAGGTGGGCACCCACCTGGAAAGGACACCCTTCCATGGCAGGGCACACTCACATACACCCGCACTCAGGCTGGGACAGTGGAGAAACCAATTCACCTAACGTGCATATAGATGGGATGTGAAAGGAAAGCCGAGTCCCAGAGAAAAGGCATGCAGTCATGGGGAGAAGGCACCCTCCCAGACAGTGGGCCCCAGCTGGGACTGGTCTTTTTATTGTTATTTGAGGACCTGCTATATAATAAGCCCTGTAAAAAACTAAGATGAATTTGCATAATACAAAACTGGCAGAGTTGGCATTAATCACTAACATTCCATTGAATGCATTTCTGTGGACTAGAATTAACGTGCATTATCAGTTTGCCTCTATTTACATTATCGTAAAGTACTAGTAAGTAAAAGAAAATGAAGTGGAGACACTCAGAAGGGTGAGCTAGATAGAATGCCCTTCG